TACTTCCAAGATTCATATCCATGCGTCTTCTCGTGTTTTGCAAACCCTAGAGGAGTCTTGCAAAATTACAGGAAATTGCGTATTTAAAGCATAAAAAGTTAGTATACATTGTTCAGGCCAACAGCGATAAACTGAACCTTCATAGGTCTAATATATGCTTTAGAGTTGAGTCAATTAGATTGTCTCCAACATGCTTTCTGCTTCAGTAGGGTCGAAGATTATTTTTTCATTAACATTCGGAAGGTGCATTGAAATTTGTCTATATCTGGCTCTAGTACGCATCTATAGCCAAAAGAGTTGAAGTTGCATTCATCATTTCTTCTTCTATCCTTCAGATTGATTTTACATTTGGATAAAGTTGAGTTGCACTTTTTGAAGAATACAGAATTTTTGCAGCCGTTGTGGAGTCAACGTATTGATACCAGCAGACAGGAGCGAACTCAAACTTAACGCGAAATTTAACAAGAGGCTTATTGTGACAAGTGGAAAGGCCTATGATGAAGTAAGTTCTAAATGCACACACCTTACGGCGTACCAATCTTTGATTTTTTTTAGTTGAGAAGGCTTTTCGCTGATCGAGTGATAGCCATACCAAATGCTAGCGCACTGGGACCGATCGAGCAGCTCAAGTGCGTATTTACCAAGAATAAAGTCACTTTTGCTGGGCTGGACGTGTTCTCACGATGTTTGGTTCGTTTTCTTTTTCATTGAGACTTTCTTCATGCAATGTGTGGAATTTATGGAAGCTCATAGTTGTTCTAATTTCAAATGCTCGCACGTAATGCTGGATTTTAGGAGTGCAATGGAACATGCTTTGTGAAAGTACCGGCTCTCGTAATAGCAGCTTTGTTTGAGAATCACGTTACTTGTAAGAACGTCTTTCATGATGAACCTTTCGATGTTGCTGGTCAGTTTTCGAGACTTCTGAAAGGTTTTTTAAAAGTTGTGTTACAGAGTGGACATTGCGACTACGTTCTTTTGATCATGGTTACTGTGGTGAAGTAGGATGCAAAGTTTTGACAGCGAAGGAAGGGCACTTGGTCGTTGCATGTCGCGGAGGAACAATTGATATAACGTGAGGTTCTTTTGAAATGGTCTTCCTGACGTTACTCTTTATCTTTCAGTGCTAATATTGTGAAGCACGATGTCCTTGAAGAAGGAGTTGAAGTGATTGTAAGAAAAGTGAGTAAATGCTTTGCTTGGTGGAAACAATGCTTGAAACACATGAGCGCACAATGGTTGTTGTTTGAAATAGGATGTCAGCCTCTTATATTAATCGGCTATAAAGCTAATCATACTAATGAAGCTGTGTGGTTTTCAAGAAAGCAGCTCTATTCGAGCTTGTGGCGTTAGTGCAAATAACAGTTACCAGTTTCTAATTACATTGCCACTCAATCATATCTAAAATTTCTGAAGCTAAAATTTTTAGTCTTTCTGCTTGTAGCGATCCATATTATCATTTCCAAAAGCTGATTGCTTTTTTCTTTTATTAGTTTCATCAAATTTGACCGGTTCTTAGTACATTTTTCTAGCCCTCCTACACCATTTTAACGTTAACGCTTAGCTTTTCAGGTTCCAGAGCAAGCTTCTTCTCGTCCTGGTTACGTCTTTTACATTTGTGGCTCTTGTGGGAAAGTCTACTGGGAAGAACTATGAATAGCTTCTTAATAAGCTTCAAATTTACTTATTCATGCTCACGCTTCAATCTTGCTTTTTATATCTGAAACTTTTAGAACGGGTATTCATTTAGGTAACGCCGCTTTTTCATTTCGTTCACTCATGCTGTTCATATCTTGTCATGTTTTGAGGTTTATAGGTGTTCCGTTTAACTTCACCTGTTATGCTGGATTCATGTTTGTAGGAATTTTCTGTTACCTTCAATCGAATTGTTGCTTCTAAGTATAGTTTTCTTTCCACACTTTACACTGTCTTGTTTCAATTTAATTAAAAGGTTTTTTAAAATCCGTTCGATCTTAGTATTAGCATTTTTTCCCATGTATCAGTTGGGACTTTTTTAAGAATTTGCAAGTGGCAGCTAATTACGAAAGTCAAATTGTTTAGATTGAAATTTTGATACTTCTGACATAGTAACAACATGTGGCATAAACTTTCAAATCACATGCTGACCGATTTCGAAGTAATTAACAAGGGAAGGATACATAGTCGAAGTGACGACTCAAGAAACGATGTTTACGGGTAGAGGCAGGTTCAGAGATTCCAAGTCTGCCTTCCGTATCTGCGAAGCGTTTTCCTGGAAGAAGTTGTGGGCGTTTGAAAACTCCAAGAACCTCCTTTATCAAGGTTAACACACGCTGAGTGTTCAAAGCGGTAGATAGTGCAGTGGTAAGTGTGCGGTTTGTTAGGCGAATAGTGCATGTTTGACTGCTCTTACCTTCCAGCTCTTGCATTTTCTTCAGAATTTTCCCATGCGTCAATGAATGTTATCTACAAATGAATGACGCATTTTCACTTGAATGCTTCTTTTAAACAAAAATTTTAAATGTGAGCGTAATCACTTTTTATAGAATCTATCCACGCATTGTTAAGCATAAATTATTATCAAGCAAAGAAAATACTTTTATGAACATACATGATATGTTATTACAAAGTGTGTGTTGCATAGATGTTTCCCGCAATGAGCTCAGGGAATGGAAGTTACCTCATTGCAGCCATTTCGAGTCTGCCATCAAACTGGGAGAAAAATAAAACTGACTAAGGGTTTCAAACGAGCCAGGATACTCTTGTAATATTAGCCGCATACTAGAATAAGTGAGGAAATTTTTGAAGCGGAGAGAGCAAAACTGAGAGTAGGTGA